ATGCAGCAATTTCCGTAGCATGAAGTCAAAATCTGGGTAATCTCATTTCCCAAGAATTGGCTTTGAGGATCCTAGCAGATGACAATGAGTTGATCTTTTTGCATAAAGACAATTTTGTGACAACAGAGTGGCTTCTCTGTTTCCAAGTAAAATGCACTTGTGATGTGATGGCACTGTAAAGGGAAGTGGAAGTATATATATATATATTTAAATAAAAAGAAAGATGACAAATACTGCTGCATCTGATAACAACAGGCACAACAAAGCACTGGGTGTGTAACTGCAGCTTAGAACTAAGATGTATGTTATGATAATGACAACCCAAGATATTAGCAGGGATGAAAGACATAATCACTGCCAAGTGCTTTCCACATATTAAGTGTTACATATTAACATAATAACAATAATTGTTGTTGTTGGCATCTGTCTGTCTCTGGAGGCAATGGAGGAATGTGCCTCTGCAGGTGAAGTCAAACTGTTGGAGGGTTACATGCCATGGCAGGACAGAGTCTCAAACAATAACATTGACCACACCTTGGCCTGCAATTACAGCATATGAAGAAGCTTCTTGAAGAAATGCCACTGAACTTTATTTTATTTTAAAGAGAATTTACAGAGGGATGAATTGCCTACAAGAAATCATGGAAGTGATTTCAGCATTCATGAATAACCCTTGTGTTTAGGTCTACTCTTGCCCTTCATTGGAAACATAATGAATCTAGACAAAGCAGTAAAAAAACAGAAGAGTTGGGAAAGGGTTTAACCCAGCAGAAAATAAGCGAGAAGGTCCTAACAAGGCCCCATCAAGTGTGTGGGTCTACCAGGAGAGAAATGCACCATACACAATGGCAGCCAAATATTAAGAACCTGGAAAATCACCCCCAAGCAAGACCTAGGAAATTTCTGACCTGATGGCCACAGGGCAAGCAGAAGCCCCAGCAGACCAAACATGCAAACAGCACCCACAATTTTGTTGAAGAAGAGGAGAAAAACAGTATATGTTGCTTTTTCATGGCAAATCAGCAAGAGCAGGCAGTGTGTCCAAGGTTGTTTACTGGTTTTATCAGGTGCAAAGGTTGCCCTCCTTTTGCTCTCAAGAAGGGCCGTTTTGAGCTGCAATTACACACCCAGTGCTTTGTTCTGGGGGAAACCATTTCTGCACGGTGGCCCCTGTACCAGACCTTTTGGGGAGACTCAAAGGATCCCTCGGGGGTAGGAAGGGCTCCAGCCCAATTAGGCTCAGTTTTCGCCAGTCTTCATTTTTTATGGAGGCCCCATTAGCTAACGTAGTACCTCAGGTTAAGAATGGTTTCAGGTTAAGAACAGACCTCGAGAACGAATTAAGTACTTAACCCGAGGTACCACTGTACATGGTTCTCCTCCCCATTTCTTCCTCACAACAACCCTGTGAGGTAGGTTAAGCTAAGAGATGGTGACTGGCCCAAACTAACGCAGTGAGCTTCATGACTGTGTGGGGATTCAAACCCTGCCCTACCAGGTCCTAGTCCAACACTCTAACCATTTCGCCACACTGGTTGAGGAAAGTGAGTCCTGAGCCCATTTATCTCTTCTCTTTTTTTCATTTTGGGTTTCCCTCTTTTGATTATGTAGTAAAAAAAAAAAAGGCAAAGGACCCCTGGATGGTTAAGTCCAGTTAAAGGCGACTATGGGGTTGCGGCACTCATCTCACTTTCAGGCCGAGGGAGCCAGCGTTTGTCCACACACAGTTTTCCAGGTCACCAGGCCAGCATAACTAAACCGCTTCTGGCACAACAGAAAACCAGAGCGCATGGAAACACCATTTACCTTCCCGCCACAGTGGTACCTATTTATCTACTTGCACAGGTGTGCATTCTAACTGCTAGGTTGGCAGGAGCAGTGACAGAGCAACGGAAGCTCACCCTGTTGTGGGGATTCAAACTGCTGACCTTCTGATCGGCAAGCCCAAGAGGCTCAGTGGTTTAGACCACCGCACCACCCACCTCCCTTAATGCAGTACACATGGTGTGCAGCACTCAGGGATAAGTGAGGATCCACCTCCTCCCTCTCCACCCAGATGGTAGCTAAGTTGGTCTCTGTGTGGCAAATTTTATGTGGACTGTGCTCTCACCACAGGCTGCTTAATCTCATGTTCAATTTGGAAATGCTTTAGTTCCTTTCTGAAATGTTCACTCAGGAGCTGGTTGGGCTTAGACTCGGCTGCCCATTATTTAATCACTATTTTATTTGTTGGCAGCACTGGGCCCAGTGACTGCCAACTCTTAATAGTTTGCACGGAAGCTGATGGTGCAAAACTGTGCCCCACCTATTGCCAAAGGGAGTGGTCGGAAAGATAACACAAGCACAATTGAGATACATATTTATGGCTGTTGCGATCAAAAGTTTTGCAATAGCAGTTGCAAAAGAGCTGTGGGCCTCTTGCCCTGTAGCCAAACTTGGGATGCTGCTTGTTTGTGGCTGCAGAAAACTTGGTAGGTAAAGCAGCTCTCAAGACTGCAGCTTGGTATTCATTTCCATCACTGTCTCTGCATATTTAAGAGATAAACACTTTAGAATATTTTTTCCTACTTAAATAAAGCAAATGTTTTCTGAGGCGAGTCCCTTGATCAGATGCAAATTGTTTAGGAGATACTAAAATAAGGGACACTACTTACCAACAGGGGAACTATGCTTGCCCCTAGTGGTTTCTTCATGGGCAAGTTATGGTTTCGCTGGCAAGTACTGTCTTATGTTGAGCCTCCAGGCACCCCACCCCCCGGTGCCGGAGCATGAAGCTCTGCCATTGGATAGCCATCCGACCTCTGCTTCAATACCTCATAGGAAGAAGAGTCCACTACATCCCAATGGAGTCCATTAGACTGTTAAACAGCTCTTACTGGCAGAAAGTTCTTCCTGATGTTTAGTTGGAATTTCCTCTCTTGTAACTTGAATCCATTGGTTTGGGTCCTACCCTCCAGAACAGGAGAAAACAAGCTTGCTCCATCTTGCATGTTACAAGCTCTTCAGATATTTGAAGATGGCTATCATACCTCCTCTCCATTTAGTCAGGGAGAGCCAATATTGGGACAAAAAGTCATCATTTTAAATATTGAGACAATTCATATAAATTCTCACCAGCTAACAAAATTCTATAAAATAGCAACCTGGAGAGCCCTGAACTTTAGCTTTGAAAAGCTGATGTATTCCAAGCAACAGAAGAGATATCTCTCTTAAACCCACTCTTTTTTTAAAAAAAGACCTCAGAAGGTAAGTTTTTTATAAATAAAACTTCCTAGGTTCAAGCAGGGTGACTGAATGGCAAAAAGTTTACTTTTTAAAAAGTAATTCTTCAGCAAGAACCCCAGGGTCAATCCCACACCTGCTCCATAAACATGGCTGAACAATTTTGAGAACACTTCACATTAGGTAGCATTATTTTGAAAAGCAGGGCTGACTAATCTTTTTTGCCTAAGGCCAATCTTCTGGAAGCTACAGACTTCCGGGTTGGTGCCTCCGGCAATGGCGGAATTCCTCTGATTGGGAGGAATTCACCCCGTGGGAATTTGGGTCTGTACCGCCACGGCGAAGGCGGGGACCCATAAAAATCACAGGCGGGAGAAGCCTGTGAGCGTGGGATTCGGCGGGCACCTTTTGCGCCTCCCCTACTCGCGGGGAAACCCAGTTTCGGGGATCCAGAGCGACGTGGGGTGAGCGGCGCAGTGCTTCGAATCGTCTGCTTCTTCCACGGAGTGAAGCCACATAGCTGTTGCTGGAGAGCACTGACTTTTTCCTGTGGACAATTTGACTCCAAAGTAATTACCCGTGAGTAGAGCTGAAGTGGGAGAATTGGATTTTTAAATGTTTAATTTGGTATCGAAACGGGGAGGTTCAATACAGGAAGTCCGCCTCCCCGTTTTGTAAATAAACTGAAGCAATGAGGCTGCAAGCTGAAGTCTTGGAAAGCCCTTTGTAAAAGACTAAATCTCCATCGGCAAAGAACATTAAACAACCCCCCCTTGGAGACAGGAGAAGAGGGGGGGAAGTGGTGGACTGAATATGCCTGTAGGAGAGAGTCAAGAGAGTTAAAATACCGCCGCTCTGACCCTGGAAACGGGCTGCTAGCAGGATTGATGTCTTTTGGAATGTTCATTGACAGCGTTTAGAACGTTCATTGACAGGTAGCTAAACAAGAGAATACTTTGTTTCTACTGTCTCCGGCTGTTTTGGTTTTTTTTAAAAAAGGAGTAAAAGTAACTGAAAACTGAAACTAACTTTGGATTATTGGAACTGTGTTTAAAAGAGGACTTTACTGACTAATACAAATAGAAACTGTTTTCCCCTAGTGGAAGCTTTTGAAATTGGTTGCTTTACAGGAGCTGGGCTAGGGGAATTTCCAGCTGCAAGATAAAGAAGTGTGAGACTCTGGGATTGACCTTGAATCTCTTAAGTGTTATGGCAAATGGAAAGGAAAAAACAGACGGAATGTCGACAGAAGAGGCCTTAGTGGTCGCATTAGTGAAAATAAACGATTCGCTGGAACAGCTTCACAAGAAAACAGACGTGATGAATGTGAAAGTGGATGCTGCAAATATTAAAATCGACTTAATTGCAGAAAGTTTAAATAATTTGGGACAAAAGGTGAAAACCAATACAGAAACCATCCAGAAATTGATACAGGAATCTACTTTGATATGGCAAACTGCGGATGAAGTCAGGGAGAAAACCCTTGCTGCTGAATGTAAAGCAATACAACTGGAGAGAGAGAGAGTCCCATTCATTCAAAGGCAACTTGATGAACATAAGCTGACATTTGTTATGATTGATCCTAAAGAAAAACAGACGAATTTGAGGACCAGAGCCCTACCTGAACTGGGAAAGGAAAGTTTGACAGAGTCTCAGGAGGAGACAGGACTAACATCGGTTGAGAAAGAGAGGTATTTGGGGGTTAGTATGACCGCCAAAAATGTGAATCTATTTAAGGATAACTGTGAAGGACGTTGGATTGAAGAGAAGGGGGATTGGGAAATATGGACAAATCTGAAGTTGTTATTGTTGGGCCGAGCTGCTGTGGTGGGGATGAGGGTTGCTATGTTGCCGGGGATGTTGCTTTTGTTTCAAACATTGCAAGCTTTGGATGGGGTGGATTGTTTCAGGAGGTGGCAGAGGGATGTTTCTAGATGTGTTTGGCAGGGCAGGAAGCCTCGAGTAAAATTTAAGATATTGACGGATGCCAAAGAAGGAGGTGGACTTGCCCTGCCAGACCCTTAAACTTTGTTGTGAACCATCTGCTTTTTGCTGGCTGAGAGAATGGCTGCTTTTTGAAAGCACTGAAGTGTTGAATAACGGCAGATGAAGTTGATGGACTATACGGAATTGGCGGAAATGACCAGCAAGATCCGAGACCAGGGAGAAGAGTCGGTGGAAGAAGACTGGAAAAAGTTTAAAAACTATTTATAGAAATATTGTAAAATCAATGAATGTTAGAAGAATGTTGGAATGAAGTTATATGGCTTTAGTAGAAATGTTATAAGGAATTAAGTATAAATAGATTAATAGAAAATTAAAGGAAAAATAAGGCAAGAATGTGTTAAGATAATTATAGGATAGAAAATAGAGGAAGATGGAAAGGAATTGCTGAAACAATTAATAGAAGTGGAATAAAAAAAGGGAGGTGTGAGGAGGTTGTTGGAAATAAGCGAGCGAGTTGAAGAGGTCTGCCCTGGACCAGCATAGGATACGTTGCTGCAATGAGATTTCCAGGAGTTATATATAACTATAATATAATAACTACAGAAGCACAACAAAACAGACAATAGTAAGCAATAAGACTGGCAATTATAAGCAGCAAATTAAAATGGTTCAAGCTCCAAACTGACACGATAGGAAAGGAAGGATCATGCCAGCCTCTTTTAGGAAGCAGTGTCCCTGCAAAGGCCCTTTCCTTGATTTAGCTCACGGTCCTCTAGACACGGTTGGACTTCAACTCCCATCAAAGTTAGCCAGAAATCATGGGAGTTGCAGTCCAGCAACTGTTAGTGTGCCAAAACTTCCCAAAAGGATGATGTGTTTAACAGAAAAATAAACCAGAGAATATTGCGAGAATAGTCAGGTTCAAGAGATCAATCTCATTGCTAGCAATATCTATCTCATCCTTGGGAGAGTCAAGCCAAGTAGAATTTGTTGTTATTCCTGCAGGTTGTTTATTTGGCCAGAAACCCAAAGGATGTTTTTGTTTCCTATTATCATTTTGCCAAAGCTGCATGCGCACTAGAAAAAGTAGAAGACTTTGTAATTTTCATGGAGAGGTTTTTGGCTGGAAAGGGTAAGGATGATTTGCCACTCTAAAACAATTCATTTTTGTCCCTTCAACCCTGTCCTCCTTTGAAAACAGATAAAATAAATTATATGTATGGTAAGGAATGTCTGATGCTGTTAGTTGCTCTGAGGAAGTCATAACTGATTTCCCACATCCCTCTGTAATACAGAATGTCTCCAACTAAATAAACTACAGCAAACAAGTTTGCGCCACTGATAGCATAGAGCTGTGCACTGGATTGGGCCCACTCCCAAAGCAAACCAGACTGATTTGTAACCTGTCTGTGTCAGGTTGAAGCAGCTACTAAAGGGTGATTTTTTTTTACTGTGATTTAATGGTTTATACCACTGCTGGTTCTTAAACTGGTGCCTTTAAATTGTTTGAATTGAGTTTATATGACTGCTATGATGCTCTCTGGATGTTTTTCAGAAAATAATCTGCTCTACATTTATGACAGATTAATTTCTCTCCTATCAGTATTTGCAAGTTCATGGCTGGACCACCTGGAAGGCTGGTACGCTCACAGAGATGACTTCAATATTCTATTTCTTACCTATGAGGAAATGAGTAAGGTAAGGGGTCAAAATGTTATTCAAACTGTTACTAAACAACCATCAAAACCCACCTTTACAAAACAGAGGAAGGAAGCAATGTGATGATTCAAGTGCCCTGACTGAAGGAGATTCTGTGTCCCCCTCATCTCTGGCCAATTAGCACTCACTCTGAGTGAGCTGATCATGGCATTGAAACCTTCATGAATTCATACAATCAGTTTTAAACAGCTCCAGAAATCATACTGCCCCGCATTATTATTAACTGATTTCAAAACGGAGCTAGCCCTGGTTGACTCAGATTCACAAATCATTCACTGCCACGGCGTTGTCAGTCAGGAATGTCCAGAGTGAGGAATTTACTCTTCATTGGCAAAAATACGCTTACAAGTTAGGCAAAGCATATCTATCAGTCCTCCATCTCAGCTACTTGTAGGTGTGCGCCGGATGAGGCAGTTGCCAGAATGGAGAGGCCCTGTCCCCAACCTTGGTTTATGAATCTCCCCTATCCAAGCAGCGCACAAGCAGGCAATGACTCCGCTTGTGTGTAACCTTCTGCTCCTCCCACTTCAGTCCTCTTCTGAACCTGGAGATTGCAAGAACATGATAAGTGGGAGCAGAAGGAGGAGGCATGAAAACCCTTCACATTCCAGCAGCCTGATCTGCCTCTGCCTCCTCCTGCGCCTGGTCTTCTCTCTCCAATCCTGCAGCTTCTCCTGCCTCCCACTCTTGTCTCCCAGTTGTTGCAGATCCCCCCAGTTCAGTCTCCAAGCTGCCTTCTCCTGGTGTGCCCACCCATCAGAATCCAGCCACCGCTCCTCAGTGTCCAGTCAGCCTCTGACAAGCACCAAATAAAATAAATGACAGCATGGGGCTCTTCCAGCCAGGCAACTTTTTAAAAGGCACACAATCTTTGTATGTACAAGAATGCAATGATTTTTCCAAACAAAGTGAATGGAAACAATAATTTCTGACACAGTCTACCTTCAAGGGAAAAACAATGTCTTCTGACTTTGGTAGAGACTTAGGACTCAACCACATTAGTAAAGAAAAAACAAATTGAATGCATTTTTAACATGCAATACCAGATGGCGCCAGTGAGCAGGAATTGTTTGAAATGACATTTCCCATAGGATCCCCCCCTCCCTCCAGGTAAAACGATCTAATTTCTGACTTATTTATAGCGGTCCCCCCCCCCCCCGTGTTTAGATCCACCCATAAGCGACAGCCTGCTTAGAAACCACTAAAGCTTTACTTGAATGTTCAATGCAAACAGTTCAAAACCCCAATTTAGCTGCTGCGTCCCCTCCTAGTATCTCCTCCTTTCTAAAAGATTAAAAAGCCAAGGAGGCCATGGATTCAGGAGCAGCTTTTCAGGCCTTAGACTGAAAATAGTGCACTGAAAGCATTTCCCCTGAGGAATTATGGGACTGATAATATAGTGTCATGATCCCAAGCAAGATATATCATTTCACAGGCCCTCTGATGCTGAGGAGAGATGTCACAGAACCTCCCTTGTGTCTGCAACAGGGGCATTTATTTATTTACTTGTGGACTCAGAGCTGCCCCATAATATAGTACATTCTGCATGGCTCATGGAATAAAAGTACCGTAACAATGAAAGTACAATATGATGCAATGGCAATTATTTCAAACTAGGCAAAGAAAGATCCAGGCTGCTTGTTTTCCCTGCTTGTAATCCTGCCTATTCCATGAGTTTTAGTCTCTAGGCTGTCAGGTTTCTCTATTGTGGATGGCTTGACATCAAAACTATTTCCCATTTCAGGATCTGAGAAGCTGTGTATTGAAATTATGCAACTTCCTGGGAAAGAGACTGACGGAAAAGGAGGTGGATGCTGTTGTGGATCAGGCTACATTTAATAAAATGAAAGCAGATCCCAGGGCAAACTATGAGTTCTTGCCACCGGATCTCATGGACCACAGCAAAGGACATTTTCTTCAGAAAGGTAAGTTAATGGTAGATCACACTGACTTGGTGCTGCTTGCAGAATCCATGACATATTCACCTGACAATTGCATTTAGGGATGGAATATATCTGGAGGTATGGATATTTATTTGACCACCACAATGCACGTTCTTTCTGTCTGCTTCCTGGGCCAGGCACTGTTGGAGACTGGAAGAACATGATGACAGTCGCACAAAGTGAAAGGTTTGACAGTGTTTTTAAGGAGAGAATGGAAAAGCTGCCCTTCAAGTTCTGCTGGGACATCCATGATGAATTATGAGTCTCCTTCCAGCTTGAAAGAAGAAAATTGTATACAGTGTGGGACACGACTAATCCATAGCTTTTGTCAATGGAGAGGATAAAAAACCCACTTAAAACATTCTTTGTGCATCACAATATGCTGTTCATTCTAAAATATGCTGAACATGTTTATTAAATATCTTTCCTATTTACATTGGTACCTTCTTTCTTCCACAATGAGATGTCGATAATATACTGTTTCTGGGGAAACCCATTTTTTTAGCCCTGAATCAGAGCCAGTGTTAATCCATGGAAAACCCCATGGCTGTCTGCTCCAATTTAGCAGTAAAGGTCAGGTTTTCCCAGGAGAAAGCAGCGGGAAAAGCTGAAGGTTGGATGAGCAGCCCTGACTCTTTCCTGAGTAAATGGTTTAGTTGGGCTTCTTGGAGCATGGCTAAATTGGACACTATACTTGAGAATATTTCTAGGAACTTTTTCTATGTCTTGCATGTGTGTACCAATTGTCCAGATCTTGAGAATTTTGCAGGAGTCCATCTAAAGCTGTGTTGGAACCAAGCAAGAAATATTATGCATAGAGTTGTTTGCTAAGGTCCTTCTCTAGAACAGTGTGTCATCTGTTATAGCATCTGCCAATCCATGTGCTGCAAATAAATGGTGGAGAGCTGTGATTGTTGGAACACATGCTGGTGAGTATTTCAAGTCATTTTGACTAGAAGTCTTCCACAATTTCACTTGGGATGGATCTATACACAGGTGGGGGGACGGGACCACTATAAATAAGTCAGAAATTAAATCGTTATAGCAAAAGGGGAAAAAAAGTGATGCAAACTAGCAAAGAATTATTTTTGTTCTCCAGTGCCATCTGGTGTTGCATATTTATAATGCACTCAAAGTGCTGGTTTTTTGTTTTTTTTTTTTTTACTAATGTAGCTGAGTCCTTGGTCTGAAAGAATGATGTGTTGCCCATACTTTGAGATGTGCAGTGAATTTTTCTAAAAAAAAATGTTCAGGGATACTCTCATTTTGATTCAAGAAAATCGCCATTTTATAGTTCGAATCGAGAAAAATAAATACAGTAAATGGACAAAAGTACAAGATTCACAAAATGTTTAGGGGTATACGTAGCCCTGTGTCCACCCAGAGAAAAAGACACTAGAGATGAGGAACTTGTGACACATGTAGTCCATAATATGCACTAACCCTGTTTTGTGTTTTATGGCACTGAACAATCACTTTAAAAGCTTTATTCATAAACAAATTTATTAAGAGGGTAAGTCTTCATGAATACAGTTTGATTTACTTCAAGTAAACATTCAGAGGACTCTGCTGCTTGTTGCTTTCTCACCTTTGGCCCCTGAAGAATGGTTAGGTAATTGGTGTGACAAAGTCTGATTCCAGAGGAACTCACCTGACCCCAAGCCCCAAGGATGATAAACTTTGCAAGGGGCCCAAAACTTTGACCCGAGTGGATTTGAACAAGTGGTTCAGTGGGGGAACTTATTTGAACTTCAATATAAAATTGCCTCACAAGCATTTTAGATGGAGAAAGCACTCGATTCCTACTGAATGGCAATCATTAATCAGAATTCAAGCCCATGCCAGCCTATAGGAAAAAAGCTGCACCTTTATACTGTTTGATAAGAGACAAGTTTGATAAGAGACAAGTGCACCCAGAATGTATTATTTGCATTCTTTGACACACATACTCTACAGTTCACACAGCAAACACGATCACGTGAAAAAGCACAGATTCCATCATTTGCAGCTTATAAGAATACGTGAATAAAAATGGTTCTTTGTACTCTTCCAAGAGTTTAGCAACACACACATTCATTGAATCTCACATTTTAGCCAGACTCTGGTATTTATAAACTGCCATAATATGATTTAGTACAGGTTATGCCATTCTCTGCTTCTTCAAAGTCTTTAGAGTATCGATGAGTGACTCTTATCTTTTTTGTTTCCTCTCACTTTCTCACATTTCCACTGTTCTTTTTGGTTCACCATACTTCTGCACCACTCTGTGTTTTTTAGAAGAAAAAAGTTCATGAAAATTTTTAGTGTCAGCATTTTAGTGTGCATTTCTCTTGATATACAAATTTATAGACAAACATGTTTAATACACACACAATGGTTTTTCTTAATATAACACTTTCTGTAGGATATTTGGCTAAAATAAGCATTATATCATATTGTTTGTATTATAAACATGTACCCTTTCCGTTGGAAAGCTGTTTTGCATAATTTGGATATGTGTGAATTTTGATGGATGAACTGTAGCTGTATTTCTGTTCACATATTGTTTCAGGAAGTTGAAATTTGGTTGACACATTAAACCATGTGTAAATACATGTGTATTTACACATTAAACCTTGTGTAAATACTCTTTAAAGACACTGCCTTTCAATATAAGCTCAGAGTCTTCCTTCTGTGCCTGTAGATGTTTTTCCTCAGAGTGGATTTTACACACACACAGCCCAGGAGTTACACTCCTAGCCAGCTGAACCCCAGAACCAAACTCTCCCCTCTGCCCTCTAATTCTCTCTATTGCTTTTTCTCTTGATGTCCAAATTGCTGACTCCACCCACCTCTGCTTAGCTGTGCCCACAGCCAGGGACACTGAGTATATGGGGGGGGGGCATAGGGCTCAGACCCACTTGAAGAGGAGATGCGCGTGGTGCAGCCCAGTTGAGGAGAGTGACAGTCTTGACAGCTCCTTCACATGCTGGAGCCAGGTTCTGATGGGAGCCTGTTGGGGAGGCCCAGTCACCCCCACCAGAAAATGTGTCTGGTGGATAGTGGACTGAGTGGGTCTGGCTGGGCTGGGGGGGTGTCATGCATATGACATCATGAATACGTGATGCACTCCCCCAATGTTTGGCCCAACTTGGCGCACCTGTCCACCTGTAACCTCCTATGAGAAGGAGGTTACAGCTCAGTACTCTGGTGGAATTCTGAAGCATTGCATACTCTGGTCTTTCTGAGCTTTCCGTCAGAGATGACTTGTAAGGGCACTTAAACATCTATCAGTCCAACATATTTGGAATGGAGAATACGGCATGAAATATTTGGGGGAGTAAGACATAAAGGTTGCTACTTTTCTTAGAGAGATTTCTAAAACAACCAATGCTAATTATTTAGTAAGTTTTATTAAAACAAAAAGGGATTATTTTGGAGTTAAAGTTGGTGTTATTGGGGTGTAAGTCAGTGCAGGCATGTGTGTACAAATAGACATCCATTGGTGAATCTCAGGTCTCTCTTACCATTAAGCCCATTTTCTACTAGTGGACCTGAGCAGACATAATACTGCATTTATTTCTTAAACGGACAAAGACCACTGTTGATATTGGCTATTGTTTGAGTAAAGAAACAAGTTCTTCCCCTGCTGTTCTTTACATTATCTGCCTCTATGCACCTGTGTTACCGTTCTTTTCTTGCATAACATGCCAGGAATGATTTACTAAGGAGGAGCCATCGATTTAATCAAACTCTTATTAGTTAACAGAATTCTATAAAGCAGTTTCCTTGAGAGCTCTGAACGTGAGCCTTGAAAAGCTGAAATACTCCAAGCTGCAAAAGAGATCGCTCTCTCCCTCTCGCTCTCTCCCACACTTTTCGACTCTAAAAACAAAAGGTAGGTAAGTTTTCTTGTAAATTAAACTTTCCGGGGAAAATCAGGACTACTGAATGACAAACAACTAATCTACTCTTTCTTTTCTAAGGGGCAACAAGGTATTTCATCGATGCATGAAAACTCTTGTCACAGTTCATATTCTTTTCTGGTGTGACAACATTTGTGCTACCAGAGATTAATAGTTATTTTGAGGGGACTGAATGTGAACTCCCATTGTGCAAGTGGAACCCTGCTCATTCGGCATGGGATACAACCCTTAATTTATATATTGTAAAATCAATCAGAGTATTTTTCTTGTTACTATTTTGTACATACAATGTTTTCCACTAAACAATTGTTGCATTTCTTAGCAATGAAACGCAAGAATTAAAGTGATTTTCAGGCTTAATGGCACTGTATGTCATAGGGGGAGTAGAACAGAAATAAATTTCTCCAACAATGCCAGGAACAGTCAGAGGCTAACACTGAAAGGAAAACTGGTTTTGCCCCAGTTGCTTATCATCATCATCATCATCATCATCATCATCATCATCATCATGATTATTATCATTACCATTAATATTATTACCCCATCCATGCAGTTCATAAAGCACCCAGGAGGAATTTGCAAGCATTCCAATTGCAGGGGGAAGTTTTTTGCTTCCTTCCCACCTCCCCTGAGTACAGGAATGAGTGTGAGGATAGCAGTACTAACCAAACTATGATGCCAGGCAGCATAAAGTGAGGCCAAGGACTGCTATTTTGCATGCTGCACACATGCACTGACCAAACAACCGTGTCAGGGTGAAAGAGAAAAGCCTTCTTGTGCAGGGCAAAGCTTGCACAGTAGCAAGGTAAGTTGTCTCTGGAGAGAGGCTCTCACAGTAATGAGGAAGGGTCAGATGAAGAAGAATTAAAGAGCAGCGGGAAGGCACCTCAGTCTAACAACAACAACAACAAAGTGCAAAGGCTAGGTGAGTTGCTTCAATGATGAACCAAGCCTCTGTTCTTTAAATGATGGGCCTTTATGTTGCTCACCTGTGATGGAAGAGAAGCATGGGATTCTGCTATGGGATCTGCAAAAAGAGTAGGATTTGACAAAAAGACATCTCTATTTCTTTCTGATTTCCTGCTGTCGCATAATAGAGGTAACTGTTCTCATCTCTTTATTCTTATGCAGGCAATGGAACCAGCCGAGAAATACCTTTTCACATACAAAGGATTCTATTTCCAGCCAGACATGGCTTCAGCGGAGTACTTGGATACCTTGGAGGATTTTGAAATAAGAGACAGTGATGTATTTTTAGTCACTTATCCAAAGTCAGGTAAGAGTGTATTTTCATAGGAAGAACCATGATTGCCATTCAACCATGATGGATACCCACATATATAGTATCTATTATCCTAAGGCAAGTTTAAAACCACATGCAAAATTGAGGTGAATATGTGTAGTATGGAACTTATCAGGTTACGTAAAGATGAACTGGGCAATTATTATTTTTAAGATGGAGTAATATGTTTCCCACCGGTGTCAACCTGTTTGAGGTTTTGGAAACAACATAAATACACATCAAAAACATTCAAATTTGGTTGCTAGTGGTTTATTGTATTCACTGACTTTCAGATTTTATATGTGGTTGTAAAATGGTGTTTGCAAAATTCTATTCTTAAAAAAACTTCCATACTGTGTCTCTGTATTTCAGCATTTATCTGCCACAGCTTTGCCAATAACGGGGGGGGGGGGGGGCATATCCAATGCAATTGTGCCCTACATGCATTAACTTCCACTTCCACACCAGAACCTCCTTCACTCTTCTCTCGCCTTGTGTCCCCAGTGTTCCGCAAATCTGCCTTGGAGGGTTGGTGGGGTGGGGAGGACACAATAACTGGGAGTGGGAGAGAGAGGGGAAGTTCTGCATTGTATAGGCATTTAGGACTTGGGTGACATGAAGAAAGGCTTCTGCAACTGCCTTTTGCCTATTATGTTTGTCTCACTGGCCATTTGTCAATATTCCTGTTCCTAGAATGCACTGATAAAAAACCATGGTTTGAATCCACTGAATCAAAGTACTTTGGAGAACAGACAACTTTCTTTTAATTTCCTGGTCTTTGACTGTCATTTGTATAATGTTCTGAGAAGAATCTGGAATAGCGTTTTTGGTAGCTTGCTAAAAAATAAAGGAACTTATTAGCAAATATTGTTCTGTCTTCCGAAATCCTCGATGCAGAGACATGTTGTTCTCAGTTATTTCACTCTGCAAAGTACTAAGTACATTCATGACAATGAATGAATGAAATAGACTTATTCTCATTTATAGGAACAATATGGACTCAAAATATTTTGAGCTTGATTTATCATGAAGGTCACCGAGATGGAACTGAAAAAGTGGATTTACTAGACAGAGTTCCATGGCTGGAGTACAATATCCGCAATGCGGATTACATCAGTCGTCCATCACCTCGCCTCTTTGCTTCCCATCTACCCTACTATTTAGCACCCAAGGGATTAAGGAACAGAAGAGCAAAAGTAGGAAACAGCACATTTATTATTTGATCAAATTAAACGTTTGTCTTGTCTTATTTAAATTAACATCTGGGTTTCTGTTAACATTTCTCCGTTTCTGAGGGCAGTTCAGAAATTTTATGCGTATATATCCTACTTCAACAACCTGGTTCCTGGCACATTTCAGAGCCACAGAAATAACTACAGAAGCAAAACAGAAGAGACAGTAGGAACAATAAGATCAGCAATAGAATAGAATTTGTTGTTATTCCTGCAGGTTGTTTATGTGGTCAGAAACCCAAAGGATGTCTTGGCTTCCTATTACCATTTTTCCAAAACTTCACGCAAATTAGAAGAAGTAGAAGATTTTGGAATTTTCATGGAGAGGTTTTTGGCTGGAAAGGGTAAGGATGATTTCCTACTCTAAAATGAACAACTTTTAAATAATAATTTTAATAATAATTTTGATTAGTTTTCAATTACAACCCAATGACAGACTCATTACAACAATGCAATACAATTACTAATACCAATCATTATGTCTATCTTTCCCGGTTGTTGCTGTTTTCCATCATGCCTTGCCAGACAAATTTTGAAACATCTTTTTGCCATTGTTTGAAGTATACTGCACCTCTGACTACAGGTATTGATTGGAATAAAAACAGCATTCTTATCAATACATTCATTTTGATCACCGAGATTCTCCCCCACAGTGACAGGTTTATTTTCCATATTACACTTCCATATTTCTTTTTATTTCATTTCATTCCATTCCTTTACATAATTATCTTTCAAAATGTTTATATTTCTAGCTGTTAGCCATACACCAAGGTATTTTACCTTCTTTTCTACCACCAACTTTGTTGTTTCTCTAAATTCATTTTTCTGTTGTTCCGACATATTCTTTAACAGAACCTTTGTTTTATTTTTATTTAGCCTAAAGCCTGCTACTTGTCCAAATTGTTTAATTTTTTCCAGCACCCTTGGTATGTTGTCCAAGGGGTCTTCTACCATTATCACCAGGTCATCCACAAAAGCTTTAATTTATATGATTTTCAACCCACTGTTATTCCTTTAATGTGATCATCCATTCTTATATTCTATGCCAGATTTCTAAGGTTAATATAAATAATAATGGAGACAGGGGGTAACTCTGTCTTGTTTCTTTTGGTATCTTACATTTTTCTGTTATTGTCTTGTTTACAATCAACATTGCCTGTTGTTCAAAATAAATTGCTTCTATACCATTTAAGAAAGTCTTACTGAAGTCCATCATTTCAATCATTTTTTCCAAGAGACATTATCAAAAGCGTTCTCTGCATCAATAAACATCAGTGCCGCCTGTCTTTCATCCATGACCTCTAGATACTCAATCACATCTATTATATTTCTTCTGTTATTTTTAATCTGTCAGCCAGGTAGAAAACCAGCTTGATCCTGATGTATCAAATCCTTCAAAATTACTTACAAACGTTCTGCCATAATACTGGTGAACAGTTTATAGTCATTATTCAGCAGAGAAATTGGTCTATAATTTTTTACTGCTGTTAAATCAGTATCCTGTTTAATAATAGCAGCAGCAGCAGCAGCAGCAGCAGTAGTAGTAGTAGTAGTAGTAATAAATTTTTATTTGTACCCTGCCCTCCCCGGCTATAACCGGGCTCAGGGCAGCTAATATATGCCTTTTTCCAGGACTCTGGGACTTTCCTTGATCTCAGGATGTTATTCATAAGTTCTTTCAGTGGCTCTAAGATGTACATTTGCAGTTTTCTGTAATATTTTGTGGTCAGTCCATCAGGTCCAGACGATTAGTCTGGTTGATAGCTGTCAGCGGCTGCCTCAGGTCCCAGCTCACTAAGGACCAACGCCAGTTGCTCTTTATAAACAAAAGTCTTTATTGTGGTTCATTGTTGGTTTGACATCCGTGGCGCGCAGCGCTACGTCTGAGTCCTTAGACCGGCGCAGTCCCGTCTGAATCCGCCCCTCCTTTACACCAGTTCAATACCCGAGCTTTGCTCCACCTCTTCCTTTCCTCCCTCTGCTCCTTTCGCCTCCGGGTCCTCCTGCCCTCTGGGGTCCCAACCCTCCTGGACTCTTCGGAGGCGGATTCTTCTGACTCCTCCCCCTGTCTCCGGCGGGCTTTGGGACCTGGCTCCCAATCCGGATTTTCTGCTGTCCCTCGCGCCTCTACATTTGAACTTGGCGCTCGTGCCCAGCCGCCCACTTTCCTCCTAACGGCTACACTGCTCCCTTCACTGCTTTCTCCTTCCGGGAGGCTGGACGGCCCTGCTCTCTCCTCCGGCCCTCCACTCTCTGACGGAGGCGTGGTCAGTCCTGCCTCACTCCCTCCTCCTGCAGGAAGAAGCTTTTGTTCTAATCCGTGGGATTCTTCCCCCCCCCCGCTGCGCTCCGGTGGGGAAGCTACCCCTGATTTCCAGCTGCCGCTTGGCGACTCCCCACTGGCCCCCCTTGCCCTGACCCTGGGGGCCTCCTTCTGGGAATCTTCTGATTCGCTGGAGAGACTCAGGGAATCTCCCTGGTCACTGTCACACCCTCCTGCGCTCCCCTCCGATTGTTCCCCTTCGCTCTCCATCTCCTCCTTCTCCTGTGGCTCAGTCCCTGAGCCCCTGACAATAGCTTTTGTCCCTTCATCCTTATCTCCTTTGACAACAGATTAAAGAAATTCTCTGTGTGGTAAGGAACGTTTTCACAATGCCATGTCTGATGCCATAGGTTACTCTGAGGAAATTCCGCATCCATGCATCACAAAGAGTCTCCAACTCAGACTCCAACTACACCATTTTATGCCACTGATGAATGGTGCCCATTGACGCAGAATGAAGGGTGTAGATCTGGCCAACTCCCAAAGGAAATCAGGTCGATTTATATTCTCTTTGCATCAGGATGCAGCAGCTACAAATCATTACAAGGTGGAGCCCCTAATCCTTAATCAAGTGTAGAGATTCGTGCCAAGTTATAACTCAGAAACCCAGACCAGGTCTCCTAAATGTTGCAAGTATTAACTGCCACACCATATAAGGAAACTGGCAGTGTGGGAAGGAAGGGAGCTGGAGGAAGGCTGGACTGATCTCAGCCCATCCATCACTCTCCCATCACATTGGGTTGCGAAGCACTGCAGGTAGCCTTAAAATGCAGAACTCTTCTGCAAATTCCTTCTCTGAGAAAGTGTTTGGTGAGGGTGGATGGTATTAATTCAGCTTCTCTTTAATGGTTTGTAGCAATGCTGGTTCTTAAATTAATTCCTCTAAATTGTTTAAATGGAATTTATATGTTTGTACTGCTGGTTTTCCCTGAATGTTTTTCAAAAAAATCACCTGATCTACATTTTATGCCAAATCAACTTCTTTCCCATCAGTACTTGCAAGTTTATGGTTGGACCATGTGGAAGGCTGGTACTCTCACAAGGATGACTTCAATATTCTATTTCTTACCTATGAAGAAATGAAGAAGGTAAGTTATTAAAATGCTATCCAGTCTGATATTAAGCATCCTTCAAAACTCACCTTTACAAAATAGAGGAAGGAAGCAATTTGATTATTCAAGTGCCCTCAGCTGCTTCTTCCCCTGCTAGTCTCGCTTCCTTTCCTAAAGACTCTTCAAAGCCTAGCAAGCCATGGATTCAGGAGCAGCTTTTCGGACCCTAGACAGCAAATAGTGCATATAACCATTTCCCCTGAGGGATTATGGGGCTATAAATAAAGTGTCATGATCCCAAGCAAGATATGTCATTTCACAGGCCCTCTGATGCTGAGTAGAGATGTCACAGAACGTCCCTTGTGTCTTCAACAGGGACATTTATTTATTTACTTGTGGACTCAGTTGAAAGAGCTGCCCCATAATATAATGCATTCTGCATGGCTCATGGAATAAAAGCAACAATGAAAGTGCAATATGATGCAATGGCAATTATTCCAAACTAGGCCAAGAAAGATCCAGGCTGCTAGTTTCTCCTGCTTGTAATCCTGAGAACAGGGCCTGACAGGCCTCTGTACAGCACAGAGGGTTCTTTTTAAAATGTTTTTAAATTATTCTTTTATCCTTTTAAATTCTTTTTTTAGCTTAAATGTTTAGTTGTGGTTAGGGATTTGCTTAAATTTAGTATGAGTGTTGTTTATTATAATTATTTTTAGTTTCTATTGTTTTATTGGTTTTTTGTTTAGTTTGTATTTTGTTTTTAAGGGGCGGGGTGGGCCCCAGCCAACAGAATGGCTGGGGCAAGTTCCACGGGGGGGGGGGGAGGGATGTACTGGGACAACCGATCTCAGTGATCACGGGTAGGAGGAGGAGTTACACTAAGACCCGACCATGTCATTAGAGAGGAAGCAGATTTAGTTGCTGTTTGAGGACTATTCCTGCCTCCAGGTCTGGTCTTGACCAGATGGATACTGGAATCAGCAAAGGATACCCACATGACCTGAAGGTGCAGCTGTGCAATGCCAAGTCAATGATTCACAAGACCACTACCATCCATGTCTTGATCGTGGGTGGAGGAATTGATCTGACATGTGTGACAGAAACTTGGTTGGATGAAGCAGATGGTCCTGTTCTTGCCGCTGCTTGTCCACCAGGTTTCTCTTACGCACAGTAACCCAGGTCATGGGGGGGGGGTTGCGGTGATTTTTAGGAAGTCATTAGCTTGCACCAGGCGTCCTATTGGGAAGACTCAGTTTTCTGAGTGCATGTTATGGAACTTGGGCAATAGGGGCAGTACAGGATTCCTTTTGGTGTACCGACCTCCCTGCTGCACCAAGGATTCGCTGCCCAAGCTGCTTCAGGTTGTGGTGGATGTTCTCCTGCAGACACCTGATTTGGTTGTCCTGGGGGATTTTAACATCCACACCGACACGACCTTGCAAGGGGCCGCTCAGGACTTTGTGGAAAGCATGGCCTCCATGGGGCTGTCCTTAAATAAGTTTGGCCCAAGTCATAGTCGCGGACATGCCTTAGACCTGGTGTTCACCTCTATGGATGTGGGTGACCTGACACTACGTAAAAGTGAAACAAAAGAAGTGCCATGGTCAGATCACTTCCTGGTGCAACTGGACTTCTCTGTGACCTCTGCAGGGAGGTGGGACCGATTCAGATGGTCCACCCCCTGCACTTAATGGATCCAAATGGTTTCCAGAGAGTGGTAGGGGATGTTTTATCCCATGTTGATGGCCTTTCAGCTGATTCCCTGGTGGCCCGCTGGAATGTTGAGCTAACCAAGGCTATTGGCTGTCTGGCTCCGAAGCGCCCTCTCTGATTGCATGGAGCCTGGACAGCCCCTTGGTTTTCCCCAGAGCTGAGGGCAATGAAACAATCACTGAGACGGCTAGAGCACTGGTGGCAGAAAACTCACTCTGAATCTGAGCGGATATGGGTTAGAGCTCAACATTGAGTCTACCAAGTGGCGACAGTGACAGCGAAGAAGACCTTCTTCACTGTCTCTGTTGCATCTGCAGAACACAGCAGCAGGAGACTCTTTCAGGTGGTCCACAATTTAATGGAACCACCTGTGCCACCAGGGCCCGGTAAAGGCCCCAATATCTTCTGCAATGACTTTGCAAAGTTCTTTGCAGATAAAGTCTCTCAGATTCAGAATGAGGTAGACGCCACAGTGGTAGCAGGGCCTGGGCGGGAGAGTGCTAGAGTCCTGTCTAGTCAAGTTGTATGGGATCAATTCCAATCTGTTACCTCCGAGGATGTGGACAAGCTGCTTGGATGAGTGAAACCAACCACCTGTCTCCTTGATCCTTGCCCATCCTGGCTAATAAAAGCGAGCTGCGAAGGGCTGGGCAATGGGCTCTGCAGGGTGATGAATGGGCTCTGCAGGGTGATGAATGCTTCCCTCGGTGAGGGAGCCTTCCCAGACCCACTGAAAGAGGCAGTCATTAAACTGCTTCTTAAAAAAAAATCTTTAGATGGCCAACTATCGCCCAGTCTCAAATCTTCCATTCTTGGGCAAGGTGATTGATCGGGTAGTTGCTGAACTCCAGGCACACCTGGAGGATGCGGACCATTTGGATCCCTTCCAGTCAGGATTCAGACCTCATCATGGGACTGGAAACTGTCTTGGTCACACTGGTCAATGATCTCCAGTGGGCTAGGGACAAAGTTGAAAGCTGTTTCCTAGTTCTGCTGGATCTCTCAGCGGCCTTTGATACCATCTACCACAGCATCCTTCTGGACTGTCTAGAGGGGCTGGGAGCTGGGGGCACTGTTATACAGTGGTTCCGCTCTTTCTTCCTGGGCCGTATTCAGAAAGTGGTATTGGGGGATGTGTGTTCAGACCCTTGGGCTCTCACTTGTGGAGTGCCTCAGGGTTCCGTCCTCTCCCCCATGCTTTTTTTTAATAATTTTTTTTATTGGTTTTTCACAGTTTTTATAAACACAAACAATACACAATACAAACAGACAAACACGCAAACAAACATGTATAATTTCATAACCCTTTTTCTTAAACCTTACTTCGCCGACTTCCCCATACCTCCCCTTTCTACCTCCCAATTTCCAAAATTGTTTCAGCAAATCCTAACACTTGGTTTTATCAAATTTTTCCCTTATTTTTTTTCTTTTACTTTAATCTTTTACAGCTGTAATCCCCTTTTTTCCCTAAACCTCAACATTTTAGCACTCATTAATTTTACAATGTTTCTTAAGATAAAGTTTAAATTTCTTACAATCTTCTTCCGCCGTCTCTTTCCCCTGATCACGGATTCTGCCGGTCATTTCAGCCAGTCCCATATAGTCTATCACCTTCATCTGCCATTCTTCCAGAGTGGGTAGATCTTGAGTCTTCCAATGCTTTGCGATGAGTACTCTTGCTGCTGTGGTGGCGTACATAAAAAAAATTCTATCTTTCTTTGACACCAATTGGTCGACAATGCCCAAGAGAAAGGCCTCTGGTTTCTTAGGGAAGGTACATTTAAGTACCTTTTTCATTTCATTATATATCATTTCCCAGAAAGCCTTAATCTTCGGGCACGTCCACCAAAGGTGATAAAAAGTACCTTCAGTTTCTTTACATTTCCAACACTTATTATCAGGCAAATGGTAGATTTTTGCTAGCTTGACTGGGGTCATGTACCACCTATAGATCATTTTCATAATATTTTCCTTTAAGGCATTGCATGCCGTAAATTTCAAACCGGTGGTCCACAACTGTTCCCAGTCAGCAAACATAATGTTATGACCAATGTCCTGTGCCCACTTAATCATAGCTGATTTAACTGTTTCATCTTGTGTATTCCATTTTCAGCAACAAGTTATACATTCTAGACAAATTCTTGGCATTGGGTTCTAACAATTCTGTTTCTAATTTTGATTTCTCCACCTGGAAGCCATTTTCCTGTCTTGTTTATAAACCTCCATTATTTGATAATAATGGAGCCAGTCTCGTACTTTGGTCTTCAATTTCTCATCTCTGTAAATTCAATTTATCACCCTCTTGTTCCAAAATTTCCCAATATTTTGGCCATTTAGCCTCCATATTGAGTTTTTTCACAGCTTTAGCCTCCATTGGCAACAGCCATCTTGGAGTTTTATTTTCCAACAAATCTTTATATCTGGTCCAGACATTATATAACGCTTTCCTAACAATGTGATTTTTAAAAGCTTTATGAGATTTAACCTTGTCATACCATAGATATGCATGCCATCCAAATACATTATTAAAACCTTCCAGATCCAAGATATCTGTAATTCTCGAGGAGCATCCACTCTTTCAACCAGCAAAAAGCTGCTGATTCAATAATAAAGTTTTAAGTCCGCAGGGCAAATCCTCCTCTTTCTTTGCATCCGTTAAAATCTTAAATTTTATTCTGGGTTTTTTGCCCTGCCAGACAAATTTCGAAATGTCCTTCTGCCACCTCTTGAAACAGTCCATCTTGTCAAGGATTTGCAATGTTTGAAACAAAAATAACATTCTAGGCAATACATTCATCTTTATAACTGCGATTCGGCCTAACAAGGAAAGCTTCAAATTTGACCATACTTCTAAATCTTTTTTAACTTCTGACCAACATTTCTCATAATTGTCTTTAAACAAATTCACATTCTTAGATGTCATATTGACCCCTAAATATTTCACCTTCTTGACCACTGTCAAACCAGTTTCATTCTGGAACCTCTCCCTTTCCATGGCTGTAAAGTTTTTATCCAAAACTTAGTTTTTTGTTTATTCAACTTAAATCCTGCGACTTGACCAAATTCTTGAATTAACTCTAAAACCCTTTTCGTACTAGTGTCTGGCTCTTGTAAAGTAAGTA